TTTTTTTTTTTCCCTTTTAAGTTGTATGCCTGTTTTGCTCTTGTTCTAATCCATATCTCACAGCAAGAAATAAGTAATTTTCTTAGTTATTGGTTTAAAACCACGACATACCTCAAAAACACAGATTATAGGACAAAATGACAAAATTATAGGATATTAGGCAACCACAAATTTATCAAAGTTGCTTGTATAATCATATACCATTCTCTAGTGAATTAATCTAGGGACAGAATATACATAACCATCTCATTAATAGGTATTGTAAAGAACATTCATGAGTACATTGCTAATCATTCATAAAGTGTTTTCTAATGACTGAGTGCTTGTTTTACAAAAGTAATTTTAATCAATGTTTGTATTTACTAGAAGAGCTGAAAAGATACTATTTTTCTAAAAGGTTTCCCTAAAAAGAAGTCATGTGATGTTGCAGCAAACCTCCATCATCAGTGAAGTTTGAAACCTGTGTTTGGCCTGGCATGATGTTCTGTTTGACATAGTAACTAGAAAAACTCAAACCTGTTGATTATGATCACAATTGTGTTTCTTTGACTTATTTCCAGATAGAGTATGAATGTAACTCTGGCCATTGTGGACATTGAGGCTTATGGTTAGTTGGAGCTTAGATCAACCTACTGCAGAAATTCTATAATCACAGTGAAGGCACGAGCCCTAGAGGGACTGAAAAGATGTGCAGATGTGGCTTGGCAGTGCTGGGTTAATAGTTAGACTTGATGCTTGTAAAGGGAAAGACAGAACTGTCCTACAACAGTAGGCACAGTGGGTTACTGCTGAATTAATGCATCAGGGAGAAAACAGTGAACAGGATACAAAATTCTTGTTTTGTTCTTTTTTGTTTTGGCTTGGTTTCAGTTTTTCCTTTTTTTGCTTGGTTTGTTTTGGGGTTTGTTTGTTTGTTTTTTTATGTTTTAGGGTTTTTTTGTTGTTGTTTTTGACCAATGTGATTTCTTAAATATTACAAGGTATGTGAATTTAAAGGACAACAGCCCATTTGGAACAACTCCATGTACAGACATTCATATGTAAGAGTAAGTGAGGGGGTTTATTCTGGATTAGATTATTTAACTTGCAAAATGCATCTTATTCCAAAAAAGAGTTCCCCAGAAGAGAAGGTTTTTCACAAAAGGTATTTCAGTCAGTTTTACCACATAGGCAGAAAATATACATATGACCTATTTTAACATAAATACACTTTCTAGGAGATATTACATTGTATCTTCTCAGAGAGCTTGCAAACTACTAACAGCTGAAGTTGTCCTGGATACAAAGGTGTTCCTCCAGTAGTGAAATTTGTACCAGCCATGATTTCAGTGTCTTCTTGTCAGCTTAGGAATAGTTGTCTATTAAATTTAGAGATACAGTCTCAATTCAGAAGAACACTTTACTCATTAATATTTGGTCATTGCCAGCTCTTCCTGAGACAGAATCACTTCAGGAAAAAAAAAGTATTTGGATTTATTTTTACTTCTTTGCATGAGTCCTTAAATTTTAGAGTGTTTTTTGGCCAGCACTGTATCATTTCACTTGCTGCAATAATTGGTAACAGTCTATTCTCAAATGATGCTGCTGAAGAGGAATAATCTGGTTCCTCCATCATTTTACTGATGGGTATTACAAGGCCTCAAGCCCCACTGGCTCAAGACCCTGCATACTTTTCTTGTACTGCCTTCCTAGCAATGTTTAGTCTGCATTTCAAGTGCTGGAGTCCAAAGGTAGAGGATAAAGCAAGCTCACTCATTACACTTAGAATAGTTTTAGAGATTCTGTTTCCATGCGTAACGCTGTTTACACCATGGAAAATTACTATAGAAAAGTGGTTTTCCTCCAACAAGAACCTCCCCAAGATCTATCTAGTCACTTAGAAATCTCTCTGTTGCCATCAAATTATTATCTCGTTTCATGTCTAATTGGGCAATGGATCTGATTCCTCCATCCTTCAACTGTTGCCTTGGAAGCGTGAGTACTGTTTGTAACTAGAAATGATTGCACATATTTTTAGGGAGCTCCATAAAATAATTTTATATCAGCATATAATTGATGTTTTACTGTACATAAGTCTCACTAGGACTTTGTGAAGACCTTCCAGCTGAGAGGAAAATGGAATAATTCTACCAGCAGAAGCTAACTGGAGCCAGCCTCATGCCTACCATGCACTGCTGTGATGATGTAGAGGTGAATTAGAGAACATCCATCCATTTGCCATTGCACATATTTCCTGAGCAAATAGCATAGATACACATCAAATTCCCTCTCCTAGAATAAATCATGGCCTATGGGAGTCTGTCAGGACAGCAGTCACTAGAAAACAGGGCTGTGTCTAAATGTTAATCTGTTCCCAAAATATCTCTCTTTCTCCTCTCTGAGTTGCATTATTACTAATGCAACTTCAACTTTGCCCTGCTTCTAATTTTATTAATTACCTTTAAAAAGATGAAAGATGTTAATATTTGGAGCATTCTGAAGGGGACATTAAACAAACCTAATTAGAGATATTCCATGCCATGAAGTCTCCCATTGAAGCCTGTTTTGTAAAACGAGCTAAATATATTAAATTGTTAAATGATAATTAGGTGTGAGCATTAATGATAATGTATAGTTAACCTAGTTTGTGCTATCTGATCCAATGAATTTCTATAAATACATTAACTTCCTTTTGAGCTAATTCAGTTAAACCACTGAGGCCAGCTCTTGCCCACTCAGAAAGGTCTGTTGTACACAACAGACTTTAGTTCTTATTTTTGACCACCTTCCAGAAGGAATTAACATGATCAGATTGCGGTGGTCATGAAACTTCGGGCCCATACTGTAGCCAACAAATCTGATGCCTGATGCTTTCATTTATTTAGCTAAACATTTTTGTGAGACTGGATCAATAGGTAGTGTCAAAGACCCAGGACATCATATAATTCTTAAAAATTAATTTAATCTTAAATCAATTTTAGAATCAGCAGAACTTTTTAAAGAATATAGAACTATTGTTTTATGAAGAAAAGCCAAAGAAAGCAGCAGTCTTATAGTTATATTCCTAATTTTACACAAAAGCATCTATGGAATACATCTATGCAATGGAAAAATTGTCAGCTCTTTTGATTTTCAATTAAGTGTTTAAATTTAAAGCAAGCAATCTTGATAAATTAATGGCATGTTACTTAGCAATCTTAGTAGTACAATTGTTATTATTACTGTAATTTTATTGAACAAATATGACTGTTGTAGAAGTGTGTATTCAGCATTAAGTAATATTGCCAAGATGATGTCTCTTTTATACCCTAAAGGTTACTTGGAGTGGTTACATTGCCAGCAAGACCAAGCCCTGATATTTCTCAGTAAGGACTGTGGGTCAAGTAAATTTGAAATACACATTTGCTTGCACTCAGATACCCTAAAAGATGCATGTATAGGTTTAGATGAGAAAAACATCCAAATAAAATACTGTGCAAAGGTTCAACTTTTATGTTGTTATGTTCTTATGCATGTTAGTCATTGGCCAGTCGTAAGTGGAATTCCCCAAGACTCAGTATTGGAGACAATCCTATTTAATATCTTTATCAATTATTTGGACCAGAGACTAGAGGGCATCCTCAGTCAGCACTGTCAGTTTGCAGAAGACACCAAAGTATTGACTTGTTGGAGAGTTGGAAGGATTTACAAAGGATCCAGACAAAGAATCAGTAGACTGAGGCCAGTGCAATGAGGATCAACACCCTGTTCTTGGGTCACAGCAACCCAAATCAGTGCCACAGGTGTTGGGCAGAGTGACTGGAAAGTGGCATAGCAGAAAAGTTGCTGGTCAACAACCAGCTGAATATAAGCCAGAGTCTGCCCAGGTAGCTGAGAAGGCCAATGGTGTCTTGGCCTTTATCAGAAATAGTGTGGCCAGCAGGCTCAGGGAAGTGACTGCATGGATATTTCCACTGAAGTGCAAGTGAAGGATTTTATTTTCAGTTAGCTTACTCACTTGCAAAGTTTATCCTCTTCACAGTAGGTATTTCCCAGAAGGGGAGCATTTTCATAAGAAGCATTTCCATCGGTTTCACTGCGTAGGCATTTTATGTGACTATGCAAAAAGTTGTACAATGTATGTACAATAGATTTTGATAAAATAGGAGAGAATATCCTGATCTCCAGTTTCTATGTACACTAACACTATTTGTATGGCTTGGAATATGTGTGCCTCATTTTTCAGAATACCAAACCTGCCATCATGGAAGATCCCTGTAGACATGTTTTAAATCTGAAGTCCACCACTAATCTTCAAAGGTGAAATACAAAGCAAAGATAAATGGTTTCTAAACTTCATCACTTCCTTTATGATCTGAAATTACTACACTGGCAGCAGAGGAAAATGTCTGCTTTATGCTTTAATTAATATTTTGAGCATCTTTTAAGCTCCAGTGCCTCACAGCCCTTTTGTGTTGCAGTGTTGTAACAAGATCTTTGGAGATTTGTAAGATGCAATTGTCCACATTTTCATTTTAAATGGTATGATTCTTTATATGAAAAGAAAAAAAGAGCAATTAAGAGGAGAAAAACCTGCATTTCAGATAAGACCCTAAATCAGCATTTGTAATATGGTTACCCATGATGCTGCTGGAGCCTTTAGGGAAAAAAGCATGCCTTCATATTGAAGTAATCTAACTTATGTCCATAATAGCATCTGAGTGAAGATGTGCTGGGAACACGAATAACTCTGCTCAGATTGCACCCTTAGCAAGATCCTGCCAGAATCCTACATCAGGAAGAAAAAACAAGAATGAAATAAACTAATGAAAGAAACTTACAGAAAAAAAATATGGATTATTTCTGTAGAGCTAAAGAGGTACTAACCATACCTCCTGTATAAAAAATGTTGATTTTAACCAATGTGTAAGAAAAATATTTAGTATTCAGAAAAATATTTAATATTCAAAAAATTTTGAATATCAAACCAGGGTTACTTTGAATATGAAATTTTACTATAAAAAATTAAAATACTTATTATTTTTTTAAATTCACTGATAAGATAATCCTCTGAGCATTGACTGTAAATACTTTTAAATACAAAGATGCTTCTCAAAACTTCTAAAGTTTCTCTGTAATGTGTTTTTTAGGCCATAAAATACACTGGATGTTAAGTAAGGATTTGTGAGGGCAGTAATGCTGATGCATTTTTGATTGGAAATAATGGCCAAGCATACCCAACCTGGAGCAACTCATAAAGCACTGTAGGTGTATGGTCTATACCTGTCCCTTCTCTTGTATTTTGGGTGATTTAATAAAGAAGCACCAAAGGAGAGAAAAGGCCCTTGAGTGACACGAACTGGAGGCAGGCTGACTCCAGCTCCAAAGTCGGTGGATGGAACCGAAGAGTCAGGTGGATGGAAACCAGGAGCATTTGCTTAGCCTGTATCTAAAATTTCATTATTTCAGAATGAGTTTTATATTTTTGAAACAATTCTTAGTTTTTCATTCCAGTTTATGCCTCTGCAGTATTGAGATGCAACCTCCTTGTTTTGTGACACTGACATTTTCCCGTACCATTCCTCACCTTATGCATGTGTGAACAATTGCTTCTGGAACAGGGTGACCAGACAATAAGAGGGGAACACTCTTTAGTTTAGAACTCCTACTCAAGATACACATTTTTGAGCTTTCTAGTCCTGTGAGTTACATTAAATTAATCTTGTTGAGTCCAGAAGAAAGGCGCTACCCAAAATCTGTCAAGGTAATTGTTCTTCTTTATTCTCTGCGATTGGAGTCCTTTGTGTCAAATAAACATTTTTTAAGCGTTCCACCATAATGTTCTCCTCATCTTCAAGATCTGCATCTTCTTTCATCTCCCACCTGGAAGAAAAAACATTTTCTTAATTTTTAATGTGTTTTAAACTAGTTTTTAGAACAACCAAAAAAATACAGAACTTTTTTATCATTATTTTATTATTTTATATCAATTAATTGCCCTCCCCAGCTGTGGTTACACCAGTTGAGATTACTGAATCATGCAAAATATAACCCCCAAAAACCTTGCCACACAGAACTTGGCATGGACATGAGGCAATTGACACAAATTGTCAAAGCTACTACAAAATCTTACTTATATTTACTGCAACAGTACTTTTTTTTTCCATTTTATGTGTCACACACACATTGGTAGAGGTGGAAACCTTGTAAAACTTGCACAGAAAAAGTGGAAGAGCTAACACACATTTTGGAAGTTAAGCAGATGCTCTCAGTGCTCTCTAAGTTTGCAGTGAAATGTCACCACATGAAGTCCAACCCAAATATTTAATGTGAGTTGTCATAATTCTCTGGCAGTGACAGTACTATTTTACAAAATACTACAAAACTGACTGGCTCTTTGTTTCTTTAACCATCAAGTGTAATGATCTAACCAGAAAGAAAAAAACACCAGATTCATCCATGTGAATACTCTATTCTAGTTTAGGACTAAGAGCTAATGCCACTAGAACTGCAAAAGTGAAGGACTGTGAGGATTATTTTTCATTTGTTTGTTTTTTAGTAGTAGTCAATTACAGAATCTTAAAAGTAATGCAGTATTCTGTTAAAGAAAATCAGGATAATAAATACAGCAATAATGCTGATATGTAGTCAGGTAAACTTTTTATCACTCCAATTATTCCTATACAATGGTCACTTCTATGGCTCTGCCTCTTTTACAAGTTCTATGGATATTTAAGAATTTGATATCCCTTTAATATTAATCTCATTCTGTTCTAAGTAGATAATAAAATGTAGGCTCCCAGTCCAGACCACCTGAAGACAAAAGGTAAAACAATACTAAAACTAGAAATCACATTTTCAAGTATTAAAGCTAATAGGTTATAAATGAACCAAAGAATGATGCAGAAACGTAGGAGATGTAAAAAACTAACCAAACAAGGACTTTTATTTTTAGGATTTCTTTCACTTTTAGGAAACTGTCAGGAGCAATACTTTAATCCTGTCCCCACATTTCTTAGGTCCTCATTCATACTGCAAGAATCAGAAGCCATATACAAGTTTAGATTGGTGAATAAATCAAACGTAATATAGAGTGGTGGGACAACTATATTTCATTCCTTATATTTGCAAGAAGAGAACAGTCATTATTGGCAATAGAGCATGGTGTACACTTTGTATCTATTTAAAAGCTTACTAAAACCAGAAGGAGAACAAGTGCTTTGTAGTAAAATCTCATTCTTAAAAAACAATTAGGATGAAATATGCTCAATGAACATGTATAAATTAGCATATATCCTTCATACCTTTACCTTAAAAAACTGAATCTGACAACCCATATTATTGCCTGAAGGAGTATCAGAACAAGCAAAGCATACTTTGAATAAAATTATAATCACTGAATGCCGGTGATCAAGGTTTTGCAATAATTAACTTCCTATTACTCCACTCATGTGTGACTGCTATCATACTTAACCTTATGTGTATAATACCATTAGGTACAATTAATTGCTATGTCTGTCTACTTCATTCTCTGGTTAATGATATAAAATCTGTCTGTATGAACCTTCAGTGCAGTCACTTTCGCAAGCATCCCCAGTGAATGCTGTTTAACAGGGTAACTGGTTTCCCCTTTTCCTTTTGTATATAATGTACCTGTAATGTACCTTGTCTTCAAACCTAGGAAGAAGTTGTGCAAGCCTGAATTTGAATTTATGGTCCTCAGCATTATTCAGAAACACTACTACAAGAGCTGAATTGATTAATTTGAATTAATTAGATTTGTTGAATGTTTTTAACTTGAGGAGGTGTTTGCTTAGAAGGACTGTCATAGTTACAGAGATAGGAAGTAGAGTGTAGCATTGGGGACGACCCAAAATCATGTATTCCATATCTTCTCCACATCAATCTGTACAAGGTAGCTTACTATCTCTTTAAGACCCAGAGTTGGAAGCAGAACCTCTGCGTTTTACCCCGGTACACGGAAAGGGGAGGGGTGCCGGGAACAAGACACGTGGAGCTCTCTGTTTTGTTCTTTCCAGACTCATGAGAACCTCAGAAAGCGGGGCTCTCTCACAGGCTGCTAGCCACGGCCTCCCAGGAACTGATAAAAAAAAAGACAGACAGCGACCCTTGTCACAGTTGCTACAGCAACCACCGCTTTTGGTGCCAGGGGAGATGTTTCTCTGGACTTTCCGCCGCTGCTGCTCAGGACAGCCGCCTGTCGCCAAGGGTCGGAGCCGCTCCACAAGTTTCCAGCTGCTTAGGGACTGGCCCTACATATGCTGAGAAGTTTCTCCCGGCGTTTCAGCAGCATTTACTCCTTTAGGAGAAAAATACCTTTCCTAGGTTTTGTTTTGTCCCCGCCCCCACTGTTGCTTGGGGAAGGAGGCAGTTTTGGAACCATGGATGCTCGTTTGGTGTGTTGCCTTTGTCCCCTGTCTTGGCCTCATGGCCTAGAGAGTGGAATCTACACCATTTTGTCTGTGTTCCAAGGGACAATTCGGGGGACCTCATCTGCATTTGTGGATGAGGGTTTAACTGTTTGCCTCTGTATTTCTTGTTTATTGTGTTTTCTTTTAGTAAACTGTTTTTTCTTTTTCACTTACATCTCTTCACACTTCTCTCTCCTCATTGGTAGAGGGGATAGGTTGAAACTAAGGGGAGGGCAGTTATTGCAGAGTCTCTGCCCTGTAAAATTGCCTTAAACTAAGATATATTTGGCACCCAACTAAAAGGGGGTCAAGAGAAAAAGTGAAAAAAATAACAAATTTGACCAAATTATTTCCATATTGGGTACTGAACTCCCTAGTCACCACACTGCTTGGACTGGTCATAGTGCTGTGGCACCTAACCTTATATATGTGTCCAGAGAATTGATACAGTTTGTGATACCAGTTTAGGGAATGATAACATCAAAGGCAATGAAGATCATTTGGTAAATGCATTCATTGCTGTTTGCCTGTCCGGATCTGCTATGTCATGAGGTTTGTGAATAATTGCACACAGCCTTTGGGGGGAAGAGAAGATGACTTTTCCTTTTGCCTTTCACCTCTTTCCCTTCAGGTCTGACACATCACTTCTTGAGAAAGCTGAATTTCTTCTGGATGCTAAGGGCACCATATTCTTCTTGCTGGTTCTGCTCTGTCTCCTCTGTACAGTCTACATTTACAGTAAGGATGGAGATTTCTAGGGAGGTGTCTTGGAGTGATTCATGATGATAGTATATTCCATGGTCTTCTGCTTTATGACCAAAAATGGTTGCTGTATCTTTAAAGCCTGGGACTGGTGGTGTGTGGGACTGGGGATGGGAGAGTTTCGGCCTTTTGGAGGGCATTTTTGAAGCCTCCCTGCCTAGGTGTTCCATGGTGCTGTGCAGTTTGGTTTCACTTGGCTAGCTTGGTTTTGGTGGCCCAGGCAAAAAGCTTTCCCTCCTCTGGCTTGGAGAACCTGCAGCAGCAATCGAAAGATTTGCCTTGAGGTGATCTGAACAGCTGCTCATCCAAGACTGCAGGACGGGACTGGCTGGAGCAGGGCTGCCCCATTCCAGCCCCAAGCCTTGGAGAGCTGAGCCAGGAAGAGAAAGCTCACCAAGAGGCTCCAGTCCAGTTATTTGACTGCTGTGGAGAGGGGGTTGGTGCCAGAGAGCCACCAGATTTTTGCCTCCTTCTGGAACTCCTTCATGGAACATCTACTTCCCTCAGCGTTTGAAAGCCTGCACTATCTCATACCACATATCAGGGAGATTAGGTTGGAGGTCTCCCTCCAAACAAATACAGAACTCTGATAAGGTAGCAGACTATTTGAAATAAAATTGCTGTGGCAGTTCCAGAAAGGGACAACTTACTGCTCTGTGCTGGGCCCTAGTTAATGCTTACCTGCATGCTTCTTGTTACTCTACAGTAGCAGCTGCAGCCAGAAGAGAAGGACAGCAAATTGGCAGACACCACAATCACTCAGGCTGCAGATAAACAAGATGGGTAGCCTAACCAATAGCAGTTGCCCCTGTCCAAAGCAAGAAATATAAGACCAAATCTAGTTGCCCAGTAAGATGACCATGGGGAGTGCTAGGCAGAATGTTCAAGGGGAATGTCCTTTCAACACAACATGCTAACAATGCTACCTGGAGTAAATGGATCACTCTGATCACACAGCAAGTTCAGATGGGAAATCCTAATCACCCTGGGATCTGGGAAGTTATCACAAACTGACCTGAGGGTGAGTGTTTTGTACTATCATCTGAAGAGGAAAAGGATTAGTCGGCACATGCTGAGGAGGCCCCACCATATAAGCAGCCACCAGAAAGTGACAGGCAACACTGACAGTTCCTGCCATATCATAGGGACAAGTCAGAAATGGAAAGCTGCCATATCAGAGCCTAAGCAGCAAGTTGCAGAAGCTACCAAAGACAAGGTGGATCAAGTCAAGATGCAGAGCTGAAAACCCATCTGGCTTTGGATATTGCCAGTTAAGAGAAGTGGCCAACACTATACCTCTATACTGATTTGTGGATGGTAGCAAACACTCTGTAGGGGCAGCTGGAATGATGGAAGAAGGCCAATTGGCACTGAAGAAGGGAATTTGTCCAGGCTGCAAAAATCTGGCTAGACATTGCTGCTAGGGTAAAGAAGTTGTCCGCAAAAGCTGGTCATGTGGATGCCTAGATGCCTATGAGTCGGGCTAACGAGGAGCATTGCAACAACAAATAGTTGCACTGGGTAGCCAAAATTAAAGGTAGATCTGGACTGTCAAGGGAGTTATTTCTAATTTGGTGGACCCATGATGCCTCAGGTCATGAGGGAAGAGATACACAAATACTGATGTGTTTGTGACTGAAGGGTGGACTTAACCATGCATATCATACCCCAGGTAATCCATGATTGTGA